GTTCTTGACCTGTAAAGATTTCATCATGGAAGATTAATACTGATGCTGCGGCTGCCTGTTACTGGTTGTTTCTCTTTGCAGGTGCCAAAATCGGTCAGAGAACAGGATTTCAGTGGCAGAGTTGTTGCTATACTGTTATCTCTTCAGAACGGAGGCACAAGGAGAGATGAATGCCACATCGCAAGGAGCAAAGGAGAGAGAGAGAAAGAAATGGTGTCAGGTGGCATGTTGGATGCGATTTTTGTTTTAGTAGAGATTGAGATGACTGTAATTGTTTAGCTGATTCCTTTGGTCTGCAAAGATACACTTGTGTTGGTGCTGATGGTTCTTGACTAATCCTGTTTCAATTACAAATTGGTTATGTTTTTCCAATAAAAATTTCTGACACTTATATTCAGGGCTTCTCTCTCTCTCTCTCACACACACACACACACACCCCAAAACACATACATTAAAGCCAACCCCTACAATACTATCTAATATTCCATATTGAGAGGTCAAATCTTCTATATGCATTCTCTCCAACTAATCAAATATTTAAAATCCAGAAGACAAAAAAATTCGAAGACTAGAAAATACGGAGCAACACCTCCACATGTTGTTCACATCACAAACTTGAATAACAGCGGTGGCATGACATAGTTATTGGTCCTAATAACTTTCAAAAATCTTACTTCCTCTTTATTTTGGCATATTATGATTGGTAACTTGTATCTTTTAAATGATAATATGACTACGGAGATAATCTATTACAAGGAAAATGGTTTTCAGGGATTTTTTTAAAAGTTTTTGTGTTAGTTTAGTAACAATTCTTGGAAAGCACATCCACGTAGTTTTCTTCAATTCCAGAATAAAGATCTGAACTATACAAACAATAACCTAGCAGAACTCCTCAAATCACAAAGATAAATGACTTTCCCATAACTAGAATGTATCAAAGACTGGTATCAAAACAGGATCAACCATAAAAAGTAACTGGTATGTGGTTTATTAGTTTCCTTAAATCCAGAGATTCCACATGTGGCACAGGTGCAATGGGATTTTAAATGGGATTTAGTTGCTCTGCCTCAAAGGAACAACTTTTTGAAGACAGGAAATTATTCCCATTGCAACTACAAGCTTTTAATGAGTGATAATTAAGGAAGTTTGTGCATAATTACTAGTAGGAAAAAAGTTATTTTTAAATAAGTTTTAGGAATAATTTGTACAGTCTCCATATACTTTACTATATAGTTCTTTTCTGTTCTATTCAATTAAATCTTTAGCTCTATAAAAGGTAAAATTATACTACAGTGTATTCACACATTTTAACCAAAAAAAAGTGCTTTCCCTGTTGACCTTTAAAAATAAACTTAGAATGAAAAACAATGAAGCAGCTAATAATAAAGAAATATTCTAGTTGATACAACAGTCACTAACAGGATACCCAAGGAAAGTAATATATAAGAGAAAGAAAGTATGTGTGTGTGAAAAACTTAACTGCTCTCCTTTATCTGCAATGAAAATGAAACAGCATGTTTCTGGGGAAAAAAAAAAGAGCAAACATTCACACTACTCTAAGAAACATGCAGAGAAAGCTACAAGTGAGTTAATTCTTCTGAATACAAAAGGATCAATTTGCTATTTATCTACAACTAGAGAACTGTAGGAATAAAGCATAAGGGTACTGACACTGAAATACGAGAAAAAAAAAAGAAATAGGAGTGAGAAAAGGTTCAAGTTTCGCTTTGCCTGTTACTAGCTGTATTAATTTAGACAAAGCAAACAGAGAAGATCTTGGCATTCAAATTTAACATTAATGTTCACTTTAGAATGGTTAAAACTTCAAAGTGAATAAAATGTAATATTATGTAATTCTCCTGAAATGGGAATTTGAATCATGCCTGATTTAGGCAGTGTGGAAATAAAGTGAATTTTGGTGAATGAGTGAGCAATAATTTCACAAACTGATTAATAACTAAAACAATAAATATTAAATAATCCTTGCTATATTAAAAAAAGATGATGCTGCATAATAACTTTCCTAATTTCAAAAGAAAATAAGCTCTTAAGTAAGTTTACATTTACTATTTGGTGGTTACCAGAAATATGTATTTATTTTAGCCATGGACTTACTGCTCAACTCTCATTTGTTACTCTATCACACTAACAGATTCATTGGATTTGGATTTATTATGTTTCTAACCCTACAGAATAGTATAGAATATGAACTGAATTTTATGATTTATTCAATGGTAAATATACTTTCTCATATTTCAGCTTCTCTATTCAATTATTATGATTATCTTTATGAAACACAATGCACATCATAAATTATTTATCTCAGGAAAAAGTAAATAGGCCTTCTAGTCTCCTATGTCCAAATGGTATGGGTTTTGTCAATGATGGACATTTTTTTCCTTTGGTGTCAACAAATTTAATAATTCCATTTAACTTCAATAGTTTTTATTAAAGGGAGACTAAGAGTCACCTTTGCTAATGCAGGAGTATGCTGGGCTCCACATCTAAACCCTAAGCTGATGTAGGTCACATGATTAATTCCTATGCAGGTTACATGGACACCAAATACAGATCAGATCCAGCCTATGGCAGAAGCTATACAGTTACATGTCAGGGCATAGTTCATGTTGGCTTAAGATAGAGGTGATAACATCTTTTAACTCAAGCTTGCTCTCTATGTGTTAAAAGTGTCCAATCTACCTGTGTTTTAGAAAACAAAATGACCTATTTTTAATGCCCTACTTTCCAACTGTGCTTTAGAATGCCAAATAACTTATTTTTAACACATGTAACTGAATGATTATTATTTTTAAATTGTATGACTACTCAAAAATTAATACCTAGTGGTAAGCAGACAACTGCTATTTATTTGCACTCTAAGGTGACACTACTTACTCAATTTTGTTCTCTGTGTGTACCACTAGCCACTTTCTTCATAATGCATTCATTCTCCTCACCCAAAATAGTCTTTCAGAAGAAAATGAGAATTCAAGACATGATAGTATATTTCAGCATTATTTCATCCACTCTCCCAAAATATTCCATGATGGAGATCAAAGAAAAGTAATGTTGTAAATTGGTTAAGAAGAAGAAAAAGTTAGAAATGTAAAACTGCTCAGTAAATTTGATAAAAGCTGAAAAAAAATAAAATAGGAAAAAGATTATGGAGGGGACAATTATTAGAAAGAATGAGTAAATACAAAAAATGGAGAAGTCAAACACTGGGAAAGAAGATAATATGGAGGTCAGAAGAAAAGGTGTAGCAATCTACAACAGCTTACAACTGTTTATATAATATCTAGACATTTAAGTATATGTACCTCACTTACAAAATAGAAGTGTTTCAGAGAAATGAAATATTTTCAATGTACCAGGAAAGCTTTAAAATCAACCAACCACCCACCAACCAAAAATAAAAACAAACCCTCCTCTGAATCCTTTTAAGTGTTTTTGTAATACAAATAGCTGATTCCTAATTTAACTGCTTTACAATTTCAGATTTTATAAGTTTTCATAAAATAAAACATGTAAAATCTCATCATTAGAAAGAGTAACTTGAAATTTACTATTATATGTGAAAATAATAACCCTCCAGTTAATTATATTCTTTAGTATCCCATTACCATGAGAGGCTGGTTAGAAAATAATCGATAAATCTTTATATGGGACATCAAACACAGGTCTCTATGAATTTATTATCAAAATAGCTTAGGTGGGCAGACAAATACTTGTACTAATTATGAACTACAAAATCCCCTCTTCCCTCTGTAGTCCCATTACAACTCCATCGGATACAAAACAGACTGAAGTTGCCTACTTATACTGAAGAGCAAGAGAAATGTCAATAATTACAATAGAATACAAAAACAAAACAGAGCAGAATAAATCATTTTAGAATTTACTGTTCAATTAGTTTAAGTTGAAACTTTTCTGAGCAGGGGAATAGACAGATATGACATAGTAAAGAACACTAACACAAATTACATATATATATATATATATATGTGTGTATATACATATACACACATACATATGTACACAAAATATAATTTTTTTCTTTTCCCTGTAGTTAAATGGCAGGAATCTGAAGCATGGTGATAACATTCCAAAAACAAAAACATCTATAGTGAGATATGGTAGCTGCTGCAAGAATGGGCTTCTCTGACCTACCTTACCCTACCCCAGGGAGATGACTTCATAGATACTATCTTCAATTAGTTCACTAACTCAGGTTTAGCTATTATTCAGCCTATTAAAAAAACGTTAAGTAATGTGACAAGCAGAAAGCAGAATTAAAAAATTGGATCAAAGGCAAAGAATTTTATATCTGTCGGTAACTTCATTTTGAGGGGGAAAATCTACTCTATTATTTAAGTGGTTTGAACTAAAAAACAATGAACTGATTACAATTTCAGAGTTTACAAACAAGTACAAAGCTACACATTATAAAAATTTACTAATAACATAGAACAATGTTTTCCTAAATTATATCACTTCATATTATTACTTATGATCAGGTTCTTCTAAATTTGCCAATGTACATATTTCAATTGAAACATTTAATTGAGCATTCAATATCTTCAAAGTTAAGCCAAAGAAACATGTTTGTTATTAATTTATACTTATTTCAATTTATTATGAAATGGACACAAACAATATGGAATCTTACATTTCATCTTAAAAATGAAGCATTTTTTAACAAAAAGATAGCATCTAACAGAGTCACTGTAAGAACCTGGAGGTCTGGCCAGGAATCATTCCTCCATTACAGGGACATGGTATCATCAGCATCTCAAATGTCTGTAAGTTGCCACAAGGTAAAGGAATCTTATTTTAATATATTCAACATAAAAATGCAACTTTAATGCCCCTCTTTTTTGGTCCCAAGTTTTTAATTTAGGTGCTTTCTCTCTTAAGTTTTGACTTCTTCAATAAGAAACTTATAACACAACTTTCCACAACCTCTGGTAAACTAAAAATCCAGCATATGTTTCACATACCTTTTTGAGATGTCCTAGTCTAAGTTTGAAAATTTCTTCCTGTTCATGATATTCTGCCAAAGTCAACCTGTCAAAATGGAATTGTAATTCTAGATATTAAGATTAACACTTATTATTTCTTATTAACAACCAACAAAAAATAAGATAAAATTAATCAAATGGAAATACTAAAATGTTGACAACTTTCAGCCCCAAATACATAAGCCAAAAGTATTCCTCAGAATACATATTATTGAAGGTATTCTTCAGAATACATCTAATACTTACAGATGGAACAATTGACTGATTCATAAATTCAACAACTTTTTAATGAGTACCACGAATCAAGTGATATTCTAGAATTTAGATCTTAAGGATACAATGAAAAAGACAGTTTCTCCTTACACTCTGGTTTGAACTTACACTCGATAGTGGGGGTAAGAAAGCAGAAGAGAAACAATTTAGTCCAGAAATAAAATAATCCCAAATAACAGTAAGCGTTATGAAGAAAATTAGAAAGGGTGGTGTGATAATGACTGTATTACACTAACTTGCACAGAGTTTTAGGGAGGTAATCTTGATCTAAATATCAAAAAGGACCTAGGGGAGTATGTTCTAGACATAAGTAAAAGCAAGTACAAAGACACTAAGATGGAAACAGGTTGATATATGAGGAGAGGAAAAAATGCAAGTATCAGAACATAGTCAAAGATGTTGTCAGCAAAAGACGTAAAGCAGGGGGGCAGCTTCTGTATGGATTTTTAGGCCAAGCAAAGAATTTCATTTCACTTTAAGAGTGCTGGGAAATCACTACAAAGGGAATCAGTCCAATTTGGGCGCTGGTTTAAAAAAAGAAAGAAACTAAGACATTTTTCCCTTCTCTGCTTCCATGTGCTAGTGAATAAGTGAGATATAGGGATGCTAAAACTATAGTCAAACCATCAAATTATTAATAAATATAAACAGACATAAGACTTGAAAGTACTTTATGGTTGTTTTATTCTTAATTTCAAATATTCCTAAATAAATTTGAAAAATAATTGCAGCTAACCCTTGAACAACAAGGGTTTGAACCATGCAGGTCCACTTTATTAAGATTTTTAAAAATAAATACATATTACACTACTACGTGATCTGTAGCTGGCTGAATCTGTGGATGCGGAACTGCAGACACAGAGGCCAGCTGTAAAGTTATGCGCTCAATTTTCAACTGTGGGAGGGGTGGAGCCCCAACCCTCATGTTGTTCAGGGTTCAACTGTAGTTTAATGTATGTAGAACCATAACAAGACATATACATATTATAACATTTCCTAAGCAAAAATGATTCTGTATCATTAAAGTGAAAGGAAGAGGAAAAAAAACACTCAACAACAAAACAACTTCCATTTCATACACCAATATTGAAAAAATTGCTTTTATCTATCACATTCAAGCCCTTGTTTGTTTACTTATGTGTTCTGGGTGTATTTGGTTAAGCTCCTAACCCAAGTATAACTTATTTACGCTTGGTGCAGGTCCCTCAGCAACATTCAGTATAAACGCTATTTCCCTTTAGCTAGATGCTAATTAAATTTACTAATTCTCAAGAAAGGGTATTCAAATGAAACAATAAAAAACCTCCAAGAAATTCAGTTAGCATTCCATTAGAAATATCTTAAGAATGAAGAAGTAAACATTTAAAATTAAATCTCTCTACCCAGTCTTAGGTTAACACAATCACTAGATTTTATTATACTGAATATAGCTGTATAGTTGCAGCGGCTGCTTAAATTCAGAGAACTAAATGTTGCATTGTGAATGTGAAACATTCATGCAGATGGAATGAAAGAAGAAGGGGGTAAGGTGATATTTTTTAAAAATGAGGTTTGGAAACTAAAATCGATAATATCTCAACTAGCCCAGTAAAGTAAAGCCATAGGAATTTTGGCAAATAGCTTCTGGACTGGCATATATGCCACCAATGGAAATCACCTGTATAAGAATATCATAACTTCCTATTCTTAAAATATGGTTTTAGGCCCACTGGTAGAACATAGGATGGGCTCAGAACTAATTTTTTAAAAATATGTAAATATTCTGTTTGTTTCTATATAGGAATAAAATATAATTCTATACTTTGGTTTTTACTGAGTTAAAGTATAGCTTAATTTAGTATTCATAAATTAAAATTCATATGACTAATATAGTTTCCTAAAATTTTTGATACTGTATTCTACTAAGAAGTTTGGCTATCATGCAAAACTGTACAGCTATGACACACACAGATGGCTGGGAATTTCTGCAATTTGGAGGGAAGATATTTTGCTGTCTTGAGTTGGTAGTAGTTTTCAATAGCTACTTTTCTTCTGAGTTAATAATAAATCAATGTCAATTAACTCCATGATGACTTAGTTTGTTGAATACTGTTTGGTTAATCTTGTAGTATATAATGTAATGCATATTTGCTATTTACTAGCATTTAGCTCCAGTTGTTAATATGTTTGTGCTGTGGTTCAAATATAAATAGTCCACATCCCTATAGCTAAAGCAAATGCACACTAATACTTCACTGAGTTCAAAAGCTTTGACCTCAGAGCATTATTTTATAGGTCTAATCCTAGTATGAAACATACAATTCTCACTACGGGTTAACGGTAACTTTCAGCAGCAGCAGCAGCAGAACTTTGCTATTTCCTTACTGCATTTTGATTACTACTACTATAAAACTTCAAATAAACAGCAAAAAAAAAATGTATATATATATTAATTTCTCTCTGCTTGGTTTTAAAGCATCAATAAGCAGATTTCATAGACAGTATTAAATACTGTCCATTTAAATACTGTCTAAATACTATTAAATATTAAATACTTCTGACTTTCTTGGGCAGTGACTCTTACCATTTTGTGATCATGGATATCTAAAAAATAACCTAGGGACTTCCCTGGTGGTGCAGTGGTTAAGAATCCACCTGCCAATGCAGGGGACACATTCGATCTCTAACTTTCAGCAGCAGCAGCAGCAGAACTTTGCTATTTCCTTACTGCATTTTGATTACTACTACTATAAAACTTCAAATAAACAGCAAAAAAAAAATGTATATATATATTAATTTCTCTCTGCTTGGTTTTAAAGCATCAATAAGCAGATTTCATAGACAGTATTAAATACTGTCCATTTAAATACTGTCTAAATACTATTAAATATTAAATACTTCTGACTTTCTTGGGCAGTGACTCTTACCATTTTGTGATCATGGATATCTAAAAAATAACCTAGGGACTTCCCTGGTGGTGCAGTGGTTAAGAATCCACCTGCCAATGCAGGGGACACAGGTTCGATCTCTCGTCTGGGAAGATCCCACATGCCGCAGAGCAACTAAGCCCGTTTGCCACAACTACTGAGCCTGTGCTCTAGAGCCCCCAAGCCACAACTACTGAGCCCGCGTGCCACAACTACTGAAGCCTGCATGCCTAGAGCCCGTACTCCGCAACAAAAGAAGCCACCACAATGAGAAGCCTGCGCACTGAAACAGAGAGTACCCTCCGCTCACCGCAACTAGAGAAAGCCCGCGCGCAGCAACGAAGACCCAATGCAGCCCAATAAATAAATAAATAAAATTATTAAAAAAATCAGATATGTTTGTATACACCAGCAATTGAACAATCTAAAAAAGATATTAAGAATACAATTCAATTTATAATAGAATCCAAAAGAATAAAATACGTAGGAATAAATTAAACTCAGGAAGTGACTTGCACACTAAGAACTACAAAATACTGCTAAAGAAATGAAAGCATACTAATTAAATGAAAGGACTTCTGTGTTCATGAATTAGAAGACTTACTATTGTCAAGAGGGCAATCCTTCCCCAGAGTGATCCACAGACCCAATGTAATCCTGATCAAAATACACATCACCCATTTTACTAAAATGGGAAAGCTGATTCTTAAATTCATATGGAAATGCAAGGGTGCTCAAACAGACTAAACAATATTGAAAAAGAAAAAGTTAGAGGACTTACACTTCCTATTTCAAAAATTAAAACAAAGTTATATTCATCAGGGCTTCCCTGGTGGCACAATGGTTGAGTGTCCGCCTGCCGATAGGGGACAGGGGTTCGTGTCCCGGTCCGGGAAGATCACACATGCCGTGGAATGGCTAGGCCCGTGAGCCATGGCCGCTGAGCCTGCGCATCCAGAGCGGCCCGTGTACCGCCAAAAAAAAAAAAAAAAAAGTTATATTCATCAAAAGAGTGTGGTACTACCATAAGGATAGACACATACTGTATGATTCTTTTTAATGAAGTATCCAGAAGAGGCAAACAGACATAGAGAAAACAAACAGAGAAAGCAGATAATTTGTTACCAGGAGGATGTAGGGAGGGAGGCATGGGGAGTGATTAATTAATGCGCATTAGGTGTTCTGGGTGAAAAAAATGTTTTGAAACTAAAGGGAGGTTGTGGTTGCATAACATTGTAAACGCACTAAATGCCACTGAACTGTATGTGCTTTTTTTTTTTAAAAAAAAATTTATTTATTTATTTTTTGGCTGTGTTGGGTCTTTGTTGCTGTGTGCGGGCTTTCTCTAGTTTCGGCAAGCAGGGTTACTCTTCATTGCGGTGCACGGGTTTCTCATTGCGGCGGCTTCTCTTGTTGCAGAGCACAGGCTCTAGGGCACACGGACACCGTAGTTGTGGCATGCAGGCTCTACAGTGCAGGCTCAATATTTCTGGCGCACAGGCTTAGCTGCTCTGCGGCATGTGGGATCTTCCCAGACTAGGGCTTGAACCCAGGTCCCCTGTATTGGCAGGCGGATTCTTAACCACTGTGCCACCAGGGAAGTCCCTGTATATGCTTTTAAGTGGCTACTTGTATGTTATGCAAATTTCACCTCAAATTTTTTTTTTTTTTTTTAAGTATCACTGGGGAAAAGAAACAGGGGTGTATGGGAAGGATGAAACTAGTCTGCCTCTGAAAAGCCCAATGTTCACAATAGAATAAAAACTGAATTGAGAACTAACGACTTACACCAAGTCCCAGTGTGGTGTGTAGAGTAATGGCCCCATAAAGATGTCCACATTCTAATCCTTGGACATGTGAGTATGCT